ATGCAGGTTTCTGACGTCTTGCTCTCACTAGGGTTTAGGGTTTAGGGTTAATAAGGCTACCCTTTTTGGGGGTCCCTTTGAGGGGATTCTAGTGCATTTGGGTATACCGTACATGGTTAGTTCTCAAAACTGTGGTCCCTTATTTTGGGCACCCTCAATAATACGGGCCGCCTTGTAACAAGGATTTCAGAAGGGACCACATTTGTCCTGAAGTGATCATATGGGCTCACCAAATTAAAGAAGCCATGCGCGTTTACAAGCAGTCCCAAACCGCCTCTACTCTAAAACAAAGCCCAAAACCCAAAACCCAAAACCCTAAACCCAAAACCCCAAAACCCTAAACCCTAAACCCTAAACCCTAAACCCTGAACCCTAAACCCTGAACCCCAAACCCCTATGCAGGCCAAATCTGGTTTCTGACGTCTTGCTCTCGTAGTTTGTTCGCAGGAACTTTCATCAGGGGTAGTTCAGTGAGGTTTAGGGTTTAGGGTTTAGGGTTTAGGGTTTAGGGTTTAGGGTTTAGGGTTTAGGGTTTAGGGTTTAGGGTTTAGGGTTTAGGGTTAATAAGGCTACCCTTTTTGGGGGTCCCTTTGAGGGGATTCTATTGCATTTGGGGTGTAAAAAGGGGCACCTCTACATTGGGAGATGCCCGTACATGGTTGGTTCTCAAAACTGTGGTCCCTTATTTTAGGTACCCTCAATAATACGGGCCGCCTTGTAACAAGGATTTCAGAAGGGACCACATCTGTGAAGGGACCACATCTGTTGAGAAGTGATCATATGGCATATGGGCTCACCAAATTAAAGAAGTCATGCGCGTTTACAAGCAGTCCCAAACCGCCTCTACTCTAAAACAAAACCCAAAACCCTAGACCCTTCACCCCAAACCCCAGACCCTAAACCTAACACCCTGAAGCCCCCAACCCCAGCCCTGAGCACCAGAACCGACAACACCCAGGAACCTGGTGGCCGAGTCACTTCCCGAGTTGTCCGGGCCTTGTAGAGGTTTTAGGGTTTAGGGTTTAGGGTTTAGGGTTTAGGGCTTAGGGCTTAGGGCTTAGGGCTTAGGGTTTGGTAAGGACTTAGGGAGGAGGGTGAAGGGTTTTTTGGTCTGGGAAGAGACAGAGTCTAGGGCTTAGCATTGAGGAGCATGAGCTGCGAGTTGATCTTGGTCGGCTTCGGGCTCTAGATTGTAGGGCTTGCCAGGGTTGAGGGTTTTGGCTTCAGGGGTTGGGTTCGTCTTCCAGATTACCCGAGCCAACGCTGGAGATGCACTAGCAGTGCAAACCGCGACCGTGCTAGCGCACGTCCACCCAAAGCCCTAAAATCCTGAACCCACTAAACCCCGAAAGCCATTTTTGGCTCAAGCCAGGCTGTTTATCACCTTAAGCCCGCAACCCTAAACCCTAAACCCGAAACCCTAAACCCGAAACCCAAAACCCTAAACCCCAAACCCTGCATGTTGAAGAGATTTCGGAGCCAGGGATAACGAGGTCTGGCGGTGACACCTCACCACCCAACTTGCCCCTGGTATGTTGCGTTTGAACCCTAAACCCTAAACCCTAAACCCTAAACCCTAAACCCTAAACCCTAAACCCTAAACCCTAAACCCTAAACCCTAAACCCTAAACCCTAAACCTTCAACCCTAAACCCTCAAGCCCCCTGTAACTTGAAATTCTTAAGAAAATCCAAAACAGAAACTCCTCGAAACTTCCCGGACCTGAACCCTTAATGATTTCAATAAACCATAAACCCTATATAAGCCCTAAACCCTAAACCGTCAGGAAACCCCAAAGTGCAAACCTCGATCCTGCGGCTCTCTCTTGCAGTACAGTAAACTCCAAAAAAGCTGGAACATCTTTATCCCCAGACCCCAAAAAAGTATGCTAGCGGGAATCCGAGCTCTAATCATCCGTGAACCATGTTCCAACTTTCTGGAGTTTACCGTACATATGCAGAGCACCGGGATTTCTCTGCACGCCTTGTGGCAGCGCCCTCGCGCTACCCAGAGTCCTCCTATTTTTTCACACTTCAATGGGGAAGCACATGGGGACGGCACAAGAACACGTAACCCCAAAAGCCCCCGAAAGCCCGCAAGCCCCCAACAACTCGAAACTCCAAAGCCCCTAAAGCCCCTAAAGCCTAAACCCCGAAGAACTTTAAACTCTAAAGCCCCTAAAGCCCGCAAAGCCCCTAAACCCCTAAAACCCTAACCTCTGAAACCCTCAAACCCTACTACTAAACCCTAAGCCCTAAAATTTAAACCCTAAACCGTAAACCCAAAATCCCCCTCAACCCTGAGTCCGAGAACGGCTTGCCTTGCCAAGGAAAGAGCACTTCAAAAAGCAGAACGTGCAGCCCGCTGTGTGCCTTGAGGGTTGAGGGCTTCGAGCTTTGGGGTTAGGGTTCAGGGTTCCGGCTTTGGGAGTAGGGTTTAGGGTCTAGCGTTTAGGGTTTAGGTTTAGCTTCAGGGTTTAGGGTTTGGGGTTTAGGGTTTAGGGTTTAGGAATTAGGGTTGAGGGCTTCGAAGGTGAACGTGAAGGGGTCTTCAGCAGGCTTCAATGAGTTCGTCATACTTGAAGGTTCATCGGAAGTTACAGGTAGGGTTATAAGTGCCCTACATCAAGTTTTAACCATTCATAGCCCCAGTTATATGTGCCCATGAAACTGGTTCTTCGCTGCAGGGTAGTAGGTACCTTATATCCCCCTGTAGAACGCTTCAAGGGACGATGCTATCTAGGCAACCTAATTCCCAAACTTCCTAGCAAGAACCCCCCCCCCCCCTTTGAAAAAGTGCAACGCGCTTCTGTAAAGGAACTATGTCAACCACAGACACAGAACCTTTTGCATTTACAGAAGCCCCCTCCAGGTCAAAGTCCCTAATGAGAGTGGGTACACAAGATCCTAAACCTTCAAAAACGAGGAGACTTCATATTGTGGGGGTACTTCAGCTTCTTTCCTATGGCAAATGCTTTCAGAACCAAGCAAGCAGGGCTCAGGGTTTCACTGGCACCGGTTGCATGCTGCAGGCGGTTTCCGAAATTTGGGGGTAGCTCTCTAGGGTCCTGATCAAAAGGGAAGCCTGCTATTGGGGGGTCTATACTAGAGGTACCTCTTTAGGGTCCTTATTCAAAAGGAAGCCTACTATTTGGGGGTCTAGACTTGTTTCCGTAAACCCCATATCCATCAGGTATTTGCACCAGTGGTTTCTCACGCTTTTCATCAACTGCTTCCCGATCTCAATGGCCCGGCACCGAGGGGGGGGGGGAGCAGTCTTCGTGTGCATGCGAGACCCCTAAATCTTGGGGATTCTTGGGAATGTTTATATATATATATATGTATATATATATAATTTTGGGGCACTGTAATTCCTAAGAAACAGCATAGCTTTTGCTAGGGGTTCCAAGTTCAGTATGGAAATAGTTTCCAAGACTATCCCCTGATGACGGACACTTCTGAAAATTTGAGTTGCAAAGCCCGGGTCCCAAGCGCAGAAGCTTGAAAGCCCCGAAATCCCAACTGAAAGCCCTGGACCCTAGATCCCCCCAGCCAACTCTACAACTGCTTTGGGTTTAGGGCCCTGGTAAGCCCTAAACCCTAAACCCTCAACCCTCAACCCTAAACCCCTAAACCCTCTAAACCCCTAAACCCTAAACCCCAAGCCCTAAACCTAAACCCTAAAACCCTAAAACCCTAAAACCCTAAAACCCTAAACCCTGAACCCTGAACCCTAAACCCTAAACCCTAAACCCCAAACCCTCAGGTGATGATCCTCTGGGATGTCATCATGTGCGAAGGCCTCATTGTGATTCTCCGAATCGCCGTGTCCATCCTCCAGGCTCCACGTGCGGCTTTCAAGGGTTTGTAGGTCTTAGGGCGGTGAGTCCTAAACCCTAAAACCCTACAACCCTAAGACCCTAAGACCCTAAGACCCTAAGACCCTAAAACCCTAAAAAACCCTAAAACCCCAAAACCCTAAAACCCTAACACCCTAGGCCCTAAACCCTAAACCGTAACCCCTAAACCCAAGACCCACCCTGGACCCTGAACCCTGAAGCCGGAACCCTGAACCCCGAAACCTGAACAACGAATCTAGGAGCTAGGGTTTCGTGTTTAGGGTTTAGGGTTCAGGGTTTAGGCTCTGGGGTTTAGGGTTCAGGGTTTAGGGTCGGTCTGCTTTGGGGAAGACATTGAAAGAAAGGGCCGACGCACGGCTGCAAGAATCGTGAGTCTCAACACGATGTAGGGTTTAGGGTTTAGGGTTTCGGGTATAGGGTGAATTCTACTGTGACCCTAGACCCTAGACCCCAGACCCGAAACCCTAAACCCTAAACCCTAAACCCTAAACCCTAAACCCTAAACCCTAAACCCTAAACCCTAAACCCTAAACCCTAAACCCTAAACCCTAAACCGCATTTTTTGGGCTTCTTGGCTGGGCTTTCGGGATCCCTTTGAGAGGTTTTGAAGGACTCGCTGCTCTCCATGGAGTTCGAGGCGCGACTTCTACATCGCAAGGAGGGTTTAGGGTTTAGGGTTTAGGGTTTAGGGTTTAGGGTTTAGGGTTTAGGGTTTAGGGTTTAGGGTTTAGGGTTTAGGGTTTAGGGTTTAGGGTTTAGGGTTTAGGGTTTAGGGTTCAGGGCGTTGGGGGTGAATATCTTGCAAGCCCTGGTCCCCTTCGGGGTTCTTATTATAAGGCGGCTTCTCTTATTTGGGGTATTCAAAAAGGGACCCTAATTTGGAGAACTCACCACATCGCAAGGAGGATTTGGGGTTTGGGGTTGAATTGTAGGCTGCAAGAATAGGAGGTCAGCATAACATCACAATTTTGCGACTCTGATGACTACTGCCATGCCATGCGCCTTTACGTAAACACACAAGCACATGCATACAGAAATGCATATGTATAAAGACACATATATATATATTTTTTTTTTGAGCTGGCTTCGTGTTGGGCCGTTGGGGTTCAAGCTCAGCACACGACCTCACCGAAATTCATCCCATGGCAGCCGTGGCACGGCTTGTGGCTCTGACCCTGGCGAGCTCGGCTTGGGCCGGCGCTGTCAGCAACAGCACCTGCTTGCTGCAGCGCAACTTGGGGGCAGCCCTAGTGATGTCTCTTCTCTTGCTTACAAGCTCCTTAAAAGGGATGATAGGTACCCCCTAGTATAGTCCCTATTAAGGACGGCTAGTATAAGGGGCAACATTTTAAGGGTAGCCCGGTGTGGTACCTTCTTGTGCACCTTTTTTGGGTTCTGGGCTTCCCGCATACAAAGGAACCAACAGCAAACAAGGGCACGAGTACTAGAAGATGGTTACTGGGTCTAGGGTTCAGGGTCTAGCGTTTAGGGTGTAGGGTGTCGGGTTAGGGTTTAGGGTTTAGGGTTTAGGGTTTAGGGTTTAGGGTTTAGGGTTTAGGGTTTAGGGTTTAGGGTTTAGGGTTTAGGGTTTAGGGTTTAGGGTTTAGGGTTTAGGGCTACCAAGGCAAGTCGAACGTCTCCTCGCTGACGAACACGTCGGTCTTGAGTGCCACTCAGGGGTACCAACATTGGTACTGCGGCGCCTCGAGCAGCGGTTTAGGGTTTATAGCGTTTGTAGGGTTTAGGGTTAAGGGTTTAGGGCTTGGGGTTTAGGGTTTCGGGTTTAGGGTTTTGAGGTTGGGTGTTCGCGTGCACCTTTCAGGGATCCTTCTTGATAAGATTTCTGGGGCAAAGCCCTAAACCCGGAAACCCTAGTTAAGCCCCAACGCCCTAAACCCCAACCCCTAAACCCTAAACCCTAAACCCTGAACCCTGAACCCTGAACCCTAAACCCTAAACCCCTACAGCCCTAAAGCCCTAAGGCCCTAAAGCCCTAAAGCCCTAAAACCCATGCTCAGGCTCCACCTCGTTGGACAAGGATGATGGCCTCCGGACTGACTGGGGCGATTTAGACATCACGTGCCTGTGGCTGCAACTACTGAGGATTGTTAGTATTGGTTGTATAGGGTTTAGGGTTTGGGGTTTAGGGGTCCGGGTTTGGGGGTTTGGGGTTTGGGTTTTTTTGGTTGCATGGAGTTTCGGGTTTTGGAATAGTCCCTGTAAAGAAGAGTCGTAGCCTACTTCTGGGTTTCGGACAGGTACGTGAATCGCGACGACGATGCCTTCGACGACACGCGCCCCCCGAACTTCAGCGGAGCGACTGTGAACCGGAATATCTTTTTCATGGCGGTGGCAGGCATCGGATATTCTGTGGCCTGGAGAGCATTAGGAGTTTTGAGGGTGCCTAGTAGCACTGCACACCTTATCCTTCACTCAAAAAACGACTTTTAGAACCCGCTTGAGGTGGACAAGGTGGAGGTGAAGACCCAGTGCTACAACACGAACGGTGACAAGTTCACAGAAACCACCTCCAAAGGCACGAATCTGCCGGTGGGGACCGCGGGTGTGTGGCAGGTACCGGCAAAGTGGCTTCCCCTTGGCGGCAGCGCCGTGTACTGTGACTACCGGTTTCGCGTCACGGCTCTTTGGGGCGAGCGGAAGAAGAAGTGGATCAAGGCCTTAAACCCTAAACCCTAAACCCTAAACCCTAAACCCTAAACCCTAAACCCGAAACCCTAAACCGTAAACCCTAAGCCCTGATCAAGGGCGCAGACTATGGGGACGAGTTCATTGTGGTGAAGATGACGGGAACCACCCAGAACGTGAAGCTGGACATCAAGAAGAGCCCCAGCCACGTGAAGTGCTGGGATACGCTGTAAGATGACCCTCAACTCAACCCGACATCCCTCAATCCCTAAACCCCAAATCCCTAAATCCCTAATCCCTAAACCCTAAACCCTAAACCCTAAACCCTAAACCCTAAACCCTAAACCCTAAACCCCTATACCCTAAACTCCCAAGTCCCTCAAACGGTAGGGGTTGAAACCGCGCATCCCAGCCCACCAGCGGTTGGGTCGTGGTGAGCCAGGGCTGACAGGATGACCTTGGCTTTTAGGGCTTTGGGGGTTTAGGGTTTAGGGTTTAGGGTTTAGGGTTTAGGGTTAAGGGCTTCGGCTGAGTTTTTGGCCTTGGCGGCCACGGCACCAGAGTGTGCCACTCTTACGTCGCCTGCCAGAAAGTCGGAGCACAAACTGCGTTCATGCCTTGAGAAACCCCTAAACCCTAAACCCTAAACCCTAAACCCTAAACCCTAAACCCTAAACCCTGAACCCTGAACTCTGAACCCTAAACCCAAAAGCCGAAACCCTAAGCCCGAAAGCGAAGCCTTAAGCCCAGAACCAAACCCTGAGGCTCGTGCCTCGCCAGGTTCAGGGTTGGTTTGGGGTTTAGGGTTTAGGGCTTAGGGTTTAGGGTTTAGGGTTTAGGGTTTAGGGTTTAGGGTTTAGGGTTTAGGGTTTAGGGTTTAGGGTTTAGGGTTTAGGGTTTAGGGTGGAGGGTTGAGGGTTAAGGGTTTAGGGTTTCGGGTGGAAGGAGATCATCAAGTTCTTCAAGATGATGAAGACCTACCACGACGAGGTTCACCCCACGCCCTGGCTGTTTGGGTTCAGCGTATCGGGATCGCAGTTCTCGGGCGTTTAGGGTTTAGGGTTTAGGGTTTAGGGTTTAGGGTTTAGGGTTACGCTTAGTTTAGGGGTTTGGGGTTTAGGGTTTGGCAGCCCAGTGGTACCCTTTACCCGTTGCTTTTGGCTGTGCGTTCCCTTTTAAAAGTAACCCACCAAAACAACAAGGGTGCCCTTGTGATCATATGGTTCCTGGGCTACCAAGCGGTTCTGGGACAGAAGAAACCCCAAACCCTAAACCCTAAACCCTAAACCCTAAACCCTAAACCCTAAACCCTAAACCCTAAACCCTAAACCCTAAACTCTAAAGCCTGAACCCTAAACGCTAAACCGTGGTTATTCTTTGGGCCCTTAGGGAACGAAGTCCACCATACAGTCCCTGTAGGGAACTTCTTCCTCCCAGCTTCTCGAGCTCCTCAACCCACTCCCTAGAAACCCTGATCCCCGAGGCCAAGTGCGATGAAAGGGTTTAGGGTTTAGGGTTTATATAGGGTTTAGGGTTTAGGGTTTAGGGTTTAGGGTTTAGGGTTTAGGGTTTAGGGGGCTTCTAAACTCAGGCGGCCCTATCGCTGGACAGAAAGCGACCTGTCACTTAGTTGAAGGGTTTCGGGGTTAGGGCTTCAGGGATTTTAGGGTTTAGGGGCTTAGAGTTTAACCGTTTGGGGGCTTTAAACCCCCCCCCCCTAAACCCTAAACCCTAAACCCTAAACCCTAAACCTTAAACCCTAAACCCTAAACCCTAAACCCTCAACCCTCAACCCTCAACCCTCAACCCTCAACCCTCAACCCTCAACCCTCAACCCTCAACCCTCAACCCTCAACCCTCAACCCTCAACTCCAAACCCTAAAGCCTAAACCTAAACCCAAAACCCTAATCCCTAAGCCCTAAACCTTAAACCCTAAACCCTCAACCCTAAACCCTCAACCCTCAACCCTCAACCCTCAACCCTCAACCCTCAACCCTCAACCCTCAACCCTCACCCCTCAACCCTCAGCCCTCAACCCTCAACCCTCACCCTCCCCCTCAAACCCTCAACCCGCAACTCAACCCTCACACCCTCAACCCGCAACCCTCAACCCTCAACCTCAACCCTTCAACCCTCAACCCAACCCTCAACCCTCAACCCTCAAAACGCAACCCTCAACCCTCAAATCAACCTCAACCCTCAAAACCTCAACCCTCAACCCTCACCCGCACCCTCAACCCTCAACCTCAACCCTCAACCCTCAACCCTCAACTCCAAACCCTAAGCCTAGAAACCTCCTAACCCTAAAACAACCCTAAACCTAAACCCTAAAACCCTAAACCCTCAACCCTCAACCCTCAACCCGCAACCCTCAACCCTCAACCCTCAACCCTCAACCCTCAACCCTCAACCCTCACCCCTCAACCCTCAACCCTCAACCTCAACCCTCTCACCCTCCCTCTCAACCCTCAACCCGCACCCTCAACCCTCAACCTCACAGCTCAACCCAAAAGCTAAACCTAAACCCTAAACCCTAAACCCTAATCCTAAACCTAACCGTAACCCTAAACCCTAAACCCTCCACCCTCAACCCTCAACCCTCACCTCAAAAAACCTCAACCCTCAAACCCTCACCCCGTCAACCCTCAACCCTCACAACCCTCAACCCTCAACCCCAACTCCTCAACCCTCAACCCTCAACCCTCAACCCTCAACCCTCAACCCTCAACCCTCAACCCTCAACCCTCAACCCTCAACCCTCAACCCTCAACCCTCAACCCTCAACCCTCAACCCTCAACCCTCAACCCTCAAACCTCAACCCTCAACCCTCAACCCTCAACCCTCAACCCTCAACCCTCAACCCTCAACCCTCAACCCTCAACCCTCAACCCTCAACCCTCAACTCCAAACCCTAAACCCTAAACCCTAAACCCTAATCCCTAAACCCTAAACCTTAAACCCTAAACCCTAAACCCGAAACCCTAAACTCAGGGCTTAGGCCGCCCCCCCCAGGTCGTTCGCCCGCCTCCCACAGCATGGGCGTCGGTAGCGCCCACGATGGGCCCGGTACCGGAGCACGTTCTCCTCGGGACCAGTACTGGTCCCTTCTTATAAAGTAATTATTTTAAACTCTCAGGTCATGATTTTGGAGGTGGCTGGCCCTTTCGGGGGGGGGTACCCCCAGGGCCCCAGCCCAGGAGGTCCTGGACCCCTGCCGCAGCGTGCCCAAGGACCAGAATTTTGGCCCTGGCCCAGACCCCCTCCCTCTGTAACGGGCCACCCGCTGCCCCTCAGCCTGGGCTTGGTTTCCGCTGGTTCGGGCCTCTAGACCCTGCCCTTCGAGACCTGCAATTAGCCGGTTAAGTTTTTTAGAAGTGGACTTTTGTCTGAGTTTAGGCCTAAACCCTAAAAGGAATAGGTTTGGGTGTGTTTGCCGCCTTGGACGGCGTGGGGTGGGAGAAAAGTGTTAGATGGCCCTCCACAATCGGGCCAAAGCTGCTCTCCGCACCTCACGAAGCTTTCGAGCTTGTTCCGAAACCTAACCTTCACAGCATCTACGCCCTATCACACTAAACCCTAAACCCTAAACCCTAAACCCTAAACCCTAAACCCTAAACCCTAAACCCTAAACCCTAAACCCTAAACCCTAAACCCTAAACCCTAAACCCTAAACCGAAAACCCTAAACCCTAAACCCTAAACCCTAAACCCTAAACCCTAAACCCTAAACCCTAAACCCTAAACCCTAAACCCTAAACCCTAAACCCTAAACCCTAAACCCTAAACCCTACACTTGAGCGCCTCTTCGGACTCTTGCAGGACGGGGAGCTGGGTGCGGTGAAGATCGGCCAGCTGCCTGGGCCCTACGACAGCTTCGTTTAGAGAGAGCTAGGGTTTAGGGTTTAGGGTTTAGGGTTTAGGGTGTAGGGTTTAGGGTTTAGGGTTTAGGGTTTAGGGTTTAGGGTTTGGGGTTTAGGGTTTAGGGTTTCGGGTGTAGGGTTTATCGTTAGCAGTGGGGTTTACAACCACTTGTAGCTGTAGTTCCCCTCAACCCGAAACGTAACATAAAAACCCAAGCTACAAGTACCCATGAACCTTCAAGTACAGGGCTCCTGGCAAGGGAAGGTGTTGGCGACTTCGGGAGTTTTGACAGGGGTTTAGGGTTTAGGGTTTCGGGTTTAGGGTTTAGCGTTTAAGGTTGAGGAAGATTGGAAGTAGCCTTAGTAAGGGGAAGGCTTGACAGATTCTTTTTTAAAGTTTCGGCGGCTTCACATGCGCTGCCATGTCTAGTGTTGTTGGTCTTCTGAACCCAAACGCATCCCTAAAACTCCCAAACAAACTGTGTCTTGAGGTCATGATGGGCGCAAAGGTCGTTCGGGCTTAAGGTCTCTTGCCCCAAACCCGCCCCGCACCTCCCACTCCGAATGTCAAGGGAGCTAAACCTCGACCCCAAAGTATGTACCGGTAAGGGGTTTCCTTCATGTGCTCCTAAGTCGGCCCTTATTTTTCCCTTAAAGGATCTTCACAAGGATCCCCCAACCCAAGGGTACAAGGGTTTAGGGTTTAGGGTTTGGGGTTTAGGGTTTAGGGTTTAGGGTTTAGGGTTGTACAACCCTTAGACACTCCGAATGCAGAATGCAGGCTCATGAAGCACACCGAGCAGGTTCACATACCTGCGGAGACGATCCAGTGCGCACCGCTGGGGGGTTGCAGGTGTAAGGGTTGCCTGTTTGTCCCCTAAACCCTAAACCCTAAACCCTAAACCCTAAACCCTAAACCCTAAACCCTAAACCCTAAACCCTAAACCCTAAACCCTAAACCCTTACTGGGGAGTTGGGAAGTGATTGTCGGAAAACTTGAAAGATGTGGTGGAAAATTGATGGTATGCTTGTTGAGACAATGTTTGGTGGCTCGGGGTGCGGGAAATGAAGTGGTATGCTGTTTGAGAAAGGGGTGAACATGGGGTTTTGGTGTGTGTGTGTGTGTGTGTGTGCGGGTGTGTGTGTGGGTGTGTGTGTGTGTGTGTGTGTGTGTGTGTGTGTGTGGTTGGGTGGGGGGTATATGTGCGGTGCCATACACCTAAATAGGCAAGGACCAATCTACTTTTTTCCGCGATTAGGTTTTGTTGGGCCATGTTGTCCACAGGTCTTTGCAGATCCGCTCTCAATGGAGAAGCTTCTCGGCCCTAGCTTGTTGCAGTGTTCTTCCACTCCCGCGCGGCATTTCTCGGCA